TTTTCACGACAAGGTGTAACATATTATTGTTAGATTACATTTATACGCCGTGAGATCGAGATTTAGTTGTGTAGACCAGCTGAAATGAACTTTATTGTTTTTGTTTATAGTATAATTAAATTTACGTATTCTGATATGTGAAATCAGAATAAATATATGGATGCTAATATAAAATTATTATGTTTAATTGATTTGTCAATGTATTGACGTTAATTTTAAATTAGCAAGAAAATTTTGTTTTGTTTTTAAGTAATGTATACAAATTTTTATTATCAAATTCATTTAGAATTTTGAGAAAATTAAAGTGAAATTTTATTCGTTTTTATAAAATTGTAAAATTGTATTTCAAGAATGGCATGTCAGTGTATTGTGTCATAGTGCATAGTGTGTGACAAGAATAGTATGTTAAGAAACTATAAAATTATGAAAGATAATTAATAATGGTAAAGTAATTAAATAGCTCTTATATTATTGAAGATTTGTTTTCTTTATAATTAGGTTTCTTCTTTTAACTAACTCACAATGCATTTAACATCTACCAATGGAACTTCATCTTACATATTAAATGCTTGCTTATTAGATGGATGATCATGCATTTGACTATAATAATAAAATCTTGCAATTGAAAAATATTTTATACAGTATTATTCTTATGTATTTATTTGCTCTGTAAATTTTATTTATGTACAAAAAAAATTAATTTTTTCCTTCTTGGTTGAAAATATTAAAATATCTATAATGTATAATGAAAGTTTAATTGAATAAAAAGAAAAAAAAGTGAAAATTAAAGACAATTTAGTAAAAAGAAACTTAAAATCATGTTCAATTTTAAGAATAAATATAAAACGAAATTCGACAAGAAAAGATAACAATAAAAAAAGAAAAAATTGACGAGAATGATCTAGCAGAAGACAAAGAAGAAGTAGCACCAACAGCGAGTTATATTAAATTAAGAGGACGGTAGAACTCTACATCGTTGGAGAGATGAAAAAGAGATCGCAACAAACAGCAAAGCGGGTGAAACACAATGTGCCTGAGAGAGAGGGGGGTGGTGAGAGTGAGACCTACGGAAAACGTATACTCAGAGCCGCGATGGGTTCATCTTCTTTTTCGATGTAACCTTTCTCTCTGTCTGTCTCTCTCTCTCTCTCTCTCTCTCTCTCTCTCCCTCTCTCTACGATATCATGTTGAAAAAAAGCATTTTCCGTTCTTTTCTTTCATTCTTTCTTTCCGTTTTCTCTCACTACCGCACATTTTCTCTTCTGGAAGCCGAGCCGCCGACAACCATAAAAATAAAATTTCAATAAATCTCGGCAAGCCTGCAAGGGGACTCGTCGATTGAATGGTGGGGGTAGAGCAGAGTAAGGGGACGAGTAGCGGAGGCTGGGCTACGCCCTCATTGGTCTATGAGCAACATGAAAGGACACGCCTCCTTAGTCACGACTAGCAGACCGTCGCGCGCAGGTTGAACCGCTGTCGCGGGTGAACAGGAGAAACAGTGGACCGCAATAATAGGGAGGAAGACGAAAGAAACGAGATGCACAGGGTGCTTGCTAAGATATACGACAATTGCAGAGATCTATTTATATTATAATTTTCGACAATGTGATAATTATTTAAATGAAAATGGCCTTATAATGTTGTATTCTATGATGACAGCATATTTGTTCTTCTTAGGGTTACAAACATGGTTGACAAATTCATTGTGTGGGTATTTTTTTCAATTAAAAGAAAAATTAAAATAACATAAAGGAGATTTAATAATTTTGGATTTGAAAATCGAAGTGTTTGAGTTAAAAATGTTATCTTGTTTTAATCAACTTTTCAATCTGTAATATTTCAATATTCATAAGACAATAGTTGAATAAGAATTGATTTATTTTTCCAAAATACAAATGTGGAAACATAAATAATTCCAGTAATTTCAAGAATTTAATTAATAAATTAATTTTTTCGGTTCTATTACGTCTATATTTAACTAATTAATTTAATTTTTCATTATATTATTGTTATTTACTAAATATATATTCCGATTTTGGTAATTTTTTTTCTCGAGGCATATTACGTATTTAAAATAAAATGGATCATTCGTGATGTATTCTCCTTTTTATTACTTAAATGATAATTCCATCTGAACAAAAAAACATTTATCCAAAATTTATAACGAAGGCATCTTAAAACGCTAGCATGAAAGCTTATTTACATAGTTTTTCTTTAAAAGTTTGATATTAAAGATGTATCTGTGTGTTTAGAAAGGCTAGTTGAAACTGATAAAAATAAAATAAAGGTGTTGATTTATGTAAATCAGCAAATATATTCACTAAAAATTATAAAGAAATTAAATTTATCGACTTCGATTGTTTATAACCAAATGAAATCACTTGGCTTTACTGAAGCTCATTATTAATATTTCATAAACTGTTAAAGAAAAAAATTATCGCATTATATTGGCATATGTGATAAATGGAAAATTAATAAATAAAATAATATGCTCAAATATAAAGATATATATTCATTTTTTATATGAATCAAAATTAGAGGGAAAACATTAATGTTAAATAAAAATTATCGTAGAGTGGAATAGAGAAAGTGACTCAATGAAATATTTTATTTCGTATGATAACAGGGAAATAGTTTTTTGAACATTTAGTAGCCAATTTTACAATTTATTCCAAAATTTAGTTTAGAAATTAATTAAATTGAGGAAGCTTGTTTGACAACAGAAGTCAACATTATTAAAAAAATTAAGTTAATGTTTTAACTCACCAGAAAATATTAGAATCTGGATGATTATACTACTACACCCTTCGTATTCGCCGGATCTAATATTAATAGACTATTGCTTCTTCAATCTTTGTATAACACATTAAAAGCAAAACAAAGCAATATAAAAAACGTCATTGAGTTTAATGAAAAAAATTATTAAATTATTTTTTTACACAGTTCAATATGAAATTATTTTCGGATTAATTACAAATTTTTATATGATTTTACGTACATTCAGTCTTTTTAATACATATTTCAAAATATATAATATATTCATTATTTCACTGCATATTGATTAATGTGACAGAATCGAATTATTTAATTATTTGTAATTTTGCACAAATAAATAATTCTCAATTTAATATAAACAAATACGTATTGATCATTAATACTTTAATAAATAAAATTAATTCTTTAATAACAATAGATATACTAATGTACATTAATGATTAAACATTTTATGCTTATAGATTATATAACAGTATATAATTTAAAAAATATATTATAAGTATAATATATGAGTTTATAGAATATTTCATTGAAAAATAGTATATCAATGAACTATATCAATCATATAATTTAAAAATAAGTAATGCTACAGCTTATAAAGAAAACCTTATTTTTCTTTACTATCAAATTAAAATTCAAAGTTGAATTTTTATACCAAATATATATATATATATATATATATATATATATATATATATATATATAATATAAAACAAACTACCATATAAATCTTATAACCACATAAATCTTATATTATATAGATTGAATTTTTATACCATATAAATTAATTGCTATTAATTATGACACAGAGTCGAATAGTCATTTATAATTTTAAGAATTCTTTTTTTTTATAAACCACTTATAATGAATAATATAATTTTAATTCTGTCATAAGATTGTGTAACATATTTTATAGCTTCTTTTATTTTCAGATAGTGATTGTTTAAATGAGACTATATAGAACAATTTATTAAAATTTGTTAAATTCCTTATATACATCTCATAGATTTTAGTGTCTGCTTATTTTAGGCGGAGTCTAATAATATTCACAATGACTAATATTTATTATTCTTTTCGTAATTTATGACATTGACAGGTAGACACAGTACTATAGCTGCATATGCTCCCATATAAATAAAATGAGCAACCCCTCAATACCTATTCAAAATTGTACATACCGAATAAAATATTTTTTAATCTGCTTTTTACTCTTTCGATCTCTCCCTCTATCTTTTTCAGTTCCTTGCACTCACATTTAATTCTCTCTCTCTCTACATATGTCCGTCTCTGCCTCTGTCTCTATCTGTCATTCTCTATTTAGCTATTTTTTTAGGTATACGATATATGTATCTACTATAAAATACATATATCTACCTATCATTTTTTAACTCAGTGATTCTTCCATCCACATTTTTTTAAAAATGCAATACAAAAAACTATATGCGTGCATTCATGCGTTCATCAGTGGAAGCATACATGTATATACGTAAATAGTCACGTTATACGTATAAAAGTGTACGATAGTTTCGAGCGCGCATACGCTATACGTTATATGGGCAAGCGTAGGAGTGATTTAATATCACGCCCACGAAGGTGCAATTCTTTTGAGGGTGGGAGGGGGTGAGAGAGAGGGAGGTAGAGATAGAGATAGAGATAGATAGATAAATAGATAAATAGATAGATAGGTAGATAGATAGATAGATAGATAGATAGATAGATAGATAGATAGAGAGAGAGAGAGAGAGAGAGAGAGAGAGAGAGAGAGAGAGTAGAAGGCTGAGCAACAGTAACGGTGGAGGGGCATCGTATATGGCGGCGGATACAAAGCGAACAGTTTGCTGTTTGCCATCGTAGGGCATGGGTGTCGAGCGTCAAGTTCCCGAAACTTTCAATATCAACATGTACTGAAGAGAACAAATTAAAAAAAGCGGCTGTGGATAAGATGATTATGAGATAATAAAGAATAATGTGCTTCTGATCCCGACGTCTTTCGTGATTCGTGAAATTTGGATTAATATAGTAAGATAAACGGCCACTCGCCTATAAGACATAGTATACAGTGATTGGTATCGTTGAAAACTTACTGAAAGTGGCTCAATTAAACGGCTGCTATTTCTCTTTCATTGGCTGTCTGCTTAGATACAGCAGAGCTGGAAAACTGAAGAATTTTGGAGGTGGTGACAAACGAATCAGTGCTTTTGGCGCCGTCGCGGCCCCGCGGAGGCATGCTCAATAATATCTCCGCCGGCGGCTCTATTCACAGTATTTCAGGTAAGGATATAATGCTAAATTTAATTTAGTCGCGATATTTTTATTATGCCGAAATACTTTCATTGGATTGCGTATGTATTAAGTCGATTTTGTTTATCGTAACAGGTAGTTTTAAGCTTGTAGATGCCCTTATCATCGTTTAGAATGAACCGTTATAAATGGATGATGTAGGCACATAATTTTTTTAATTAAATGCAGTTGTGCCTCAAAATAAAAAAATCCATTAAAACTCAATCATATTCAAACATTATTTATTCGTTATTATTTTATTGTATATATTCTTCAATTGAAATTTAATGTATGACAATACAATGTTACAGAAATAATAGTCGTTGATCTAAAAATATTGTGTAAAACTAAGTTTGTCATTCATTAGGATTCTAAAAATTCATTGACTAATGGTAATAGATTAGCTAGGTAATTTTCAACACTTCTCGAAAAATTCAAACAAGTCGAATATAATTTTGTAGCTATTCATAAATTAATCTAGCAGCGATATACATAAAATATAAATATATATGTGGGAATCGAATTTATAATTTCCTTATATCGAATTATGAATACAAACACTTTATTTACTATACAATTAAAACTATATTTAGCTTCAAAGACTTTATCATAAAAATTTATTATATATGTATCATTGATTAGTTAATTGATTTAGTGTAGTATGTTCATATCGTTGGTAAAATTTCTTATAAAACTTAAAAATAGGAAATAATAATAAAATTATCCAATTCTTAAATATAAAATTTTTCATTCTTCTTAATCTAATCATGTATCATTTAAAAAAAAAAGTTTTTATTAATTGTGACTATTAACTTAAACTGTAGGTATCCATTTTATTATTCGAGATTTTTAAATAAATATCGGGCAAGATTTTTAAGCACAAGAAAGATAATGAAAACATGAATAATTATCATAGCTCTAATTAAAATAAAATTTATATACTGAATTACTTTAAGGAATATGAATATAATTATCTTCTAAAAATAATTAAAAATTATAATCATTGTAATGAGCGTGCAATATTATACGCAGATATAGAATGATATGCATACGGACTTAATTTGCTTAATTTATGAAACAATATTTTTTCAATACAAATAAAAAAATACTTGCTCTTGAAAAATGAAATTCTTTCATTAATAGAGAAAAAATACTACGTTTTAAAACAAAAACAAAATATTTTTACACTGTTCCATCGTATTGCACATTCACTGAATAGGTATAACATACTTTAAAAATTAAAATATGAAAACTAGGTAATGATTTTTAATACATCGACGTACAAAAAAATTTTACAGTATTATAATAAAATTATATGTAATTATTATCAGCATATTTCGAATATTATTAATGAGTACCGTTTTTATTATTTTCTTTATATTAATAAAAATATACAGATACAAAATACGATCTGTGATAAATAAAATATCAATAAAAATATATTTCTTATCTTTTCCTTCAATATTTTTGAAAATATTATTATATTTTTGTAAATAAGTAAAAACATAATTATTTTTATAATATATATGTAATATAAATATATATATATATATATATATTATTTAATTAAAAAAAATATATATTTTAATACTTATAAAATTTTAAAACTTTGGATCGAATTAGTTTGATTGTGATTATGATGTATGACCCATAAAAATTTTTATACAACTTTTTTTTTATGATTATATTTATTGTATATTAATTATGAAAGTAAATTTTGAATATGAAGATACAATTTTTGTTGAATGAATTGTCAGTTTTAACATTTATTCTGTCGATGTATTTTTTAGATAAATATATTAATTATAATCGTTATTTTAATCTATAATAATAAATTTATTTAATATTATTTTTAGTACTTTGATTATAAGTATAATATTATAAGAATTAATAGTATGATTACTACTTTGATAATAAGATCATTTAGTATTAAACAATATTCATAGTAATAGTAGTATTTGCTGCAATTCAATTTATTTGTTGCTGAAATTTATTATAAAGAAGTATAGTTATTGTTTGTAAATAAAATAATGTAAATTTAATTTAATAATGTAAGACTTTTTTAAGAGATATTTATTATTTTCAATTTTATGAAATTTTTTAAATTATATGCAAAATGTCAGCTTTTAGCATTTGTAATTACTTTTAATTAATTTTAAAAAGTTAATAGGTAAACGTACAAGTAATTGATCTAATTTTCTATAATCACATTTTTTTAGTTGTAAAAAGACTATTCAAATACACATGACCGATATTTAAATAAGTTTTTCCGAATTAACATAATTATTTATTTATTTTTTAATATAAATTTTTTTATTTCAATTAATATAATTATTTTATGTAATGAAAATTTGAGCTACGTAATCATATAATTAATACAAGTATCGAAGGAAAATGAATGAATTTTGATAAAATATATGTTTAGTTAGATCTTTCAAAGTTATTCTGCAATATATGCACATATTTTAATTTTCTATAATGTTTTACAAAAATAATATACAAATTAGAAATTATATATGTAGCGTAAAATTTTATGGAGAATTTACATCGGAATATCTGAATATATATTAAAATAACATTTTCAATTTTAATAACATATACACTTAAATAATCATATAAAAAAAAATACATAATCCATTTGTGTTTAAAATAAAATTTATTTGTTCGAAAACAATAAATATAAAAAAATACAATACCAGCCTTATAAATTTGAGAAATCTACAAAGTTACTCGATACTTGAAGCTCTTTTTTTTTATCTATTCACATTTTTTGAGGCTTTTGGAACTATGAAAGGTGCCTGCCATAAATACACCGCAATATAGAAAAAAAGAATAAAGTCGGGTTATTCCCTCCTCCGTCTCACTCATTTTCTATTATTTACCCTGATTATAAAAAATATGAATAATCAATTTCCATAAGTATACGTTTACTAATTTATTTCATTACTAATATCTATATTTAATTACATTCTGCTTATACGAAAGTCATGCGGTCTACGATAAAAATTAAAAAAAAGAAGAAGAAATTCTATAAAGAGACCAGTTGGAGGGAGGAAGACAGAGAGAGAGTAAAATTGAGAAATATACCAAGAAAACTACTATTCGGTTGTAAAAATCCATTCATGGGATGCCAGCGATGTGTCAGTAACGCGTGGTGTTCATTGAAGAGTGAAGTTTAATATGTATGCGAGGTGCTGATGGTCAACCTATTTGACACTCTACGTGCTTATGTCGTATACGAGTTTGCTTCAGCTTTTTTACCTTTTTTTATAAGAGTTTTATATTGAGACGATAAGAGACTTTAGAAATGTACTATCCACTTTTACGTACTGGTGCGTTTTATTTTATAGTATAAGGAAAACATGTACGAATGCAAGAAATCTTGCAATTGAGTGCAAAGTTCGTAACTATGAAATTCATACAGATATCTCAAAGTAGAAAGCTATTTTTCTATAAATCTTAATTGTCTTAATATATATTATTATCGATTTTTTTAATATTTACATCAATAATGTTAGTTTAAAATATTTTCACAATTTAATATTTAGTTATTTAATATTTAGTTATTGATTTTTGATATACTATCAATTTCTCTTACATTTATTAATATATAAAACACAATTATTCATTTATTTATATTTTTTTTTATTTATTATTTCTAGACATTTATTACATTTTTACCGTACAATTTGAAATTATAAATATTGTATAAAATTAACAGTTTATAATTTAAATTAATAAATTTTTATTTAGTAAAACATAAATAAAAAATTAAGTACAAAATTGACATTATTAATTATTTTATTTATATATATATATATAATAATAATAATAATAATAATAATAATAAAATGCTTTCAATTATTAAAGTTTTCAAAATTATTTATTTTAAAGTGTAACAGTAATATAAATTAAAAGTACAATTTATAATAAATTTAAATAAAAATATATTATTAAATTGTTACCATCTGTAAAAAAAAAAATTATTTATCAATATGATTTATCCCTTTGAATTTTTTATGTATTATTTTGACAACTTACAAAATACATTGAAGTATATATTATTAAAAATAAGATTTTATACAATGGATTTTATACCTTTTATAATTTTATACCTATGCATACATAAAAGATTCAATTTTTTTAAAGGAGTTACTTCATTTGAACAAGCCAACCAACTAAATTTATCTTCTATTGATTGTCGTTAGCTTTTTCGTTTTCATTTCAGATAAATCTAATGGTTTTGCCAATTTCAATATAGTTATAATTAAACAGTTCAAATTTTTTATACAATCACACACTATGATTTGCAATTGCTTTTTATAATTAAATGTTATATATTACAGTGATCTTATGTCAAATATATATTAAATTATATATTTGTTTTAAATACTTTTGAAGTAATATGTAAATAAACCTGTTATTTAAATTTATAGAAATTTGTCAATAGAATTTGAGTAAACAATACTTCCAGTTAATATTAATTTACATCGTATATTATACGCCTTTCTTAACGAAAGCATAATTATGATTTTAAATTTTATGAATTTATAAATAGCAGAATTATAATTTAATGAATAGAAAGCATTTTTAATTACTATGTATTTAATTATATTCGTTGTAAAATTGTTGTACTTTAAAATTATTAACATTAAATATGAATTTATATAAAATATGATTTTTATAAATTTTGGTTTGGATTAATATATCATATAATCCATACCTTAAACATTTGGATGCATTGGAAGTATTACAACTAAAGCAATATTCTTTTATTTAAACAAATATTATATCAAAAACTCTTTAATCCAATATATGAAAATATTAAATGTAGCATGTTAAAATAAATTTATACATAAATAATTACTATTAATTTCATATTTAGTTTATTATTAAGTTAAAAGCATAAATTACTTATATTCAAAATTAATCATACATTATAATATATAATTGTACTTTATAATTCTAAATATTGGAGGTAAATTTGAATTCTTATTTCGTATGAATACAAATATTTTTTACAATATTTAATAGTTTAAGTAGAATCAAAATCATCAGAGATTAATCTAAATAAAGTATATTCAATAAATGTTAATATAAAAATCAAGTATTATTATTAATAAGTTAATTCTTGGAATTATAGAGCACAAATGCTGTAGCTTAGCCTTTATAATTTGAAACTTCATCATTTTTTATTTATTAAAATTGAAAATCTTGTCTGAATTTGATATTAAAATATGCAGAATTGACAAGAATTAAAAAATAATTATGACGTAGAAGATTCTTCATCACTATGTTAAGATGGATCAGCTCACACAAAAAGTAAAATGTTCTCTCAATAGTATCTCCGTTTTTTTATTCTGATGTTCCTTTTCGACTCTCACCTTTTTTCTTCAAGAACATTAAGCATATCGCACACCCACGAGAGGAGTGCGCGCGAGCATCTGTTTGTTCGCTTAGAAGCTGTAGCTGACAGTCCGGAGAGAAGCCGGTGACGATTCTCACACTTCAGTGCTAAGTAAGCGACAAGAGCTCACCACTTCGTCTCTTACCTCCCTTGAGCTTCTGCTCCTATACAAATGTAAAGTATGCGTGCGAGAAATGAACCAAGTGGATTGACGAGCTGTGAGTCCGCGTACGCGCGTAGTATGCGACGGAAAAATTCATCTCCGCGGTGGAGTGGAGATCCGTTCAAATTATTTTATTTCCGAAATTTTCTTATCTACAATCTCAAAATAGTATAGATTTCAATACTGTATAGGGCAGTGATCATCATTTCTCATTTTTTTCGTGTTTATCCTGTTTAGATTAATGGAATGTATAGTAAAGTATTTTTTCCGAATTTAGCGCATTTCTATGGTATTAAGTATTAATCTTGCATAGCTACAATCTGATTAAAAAGTATATTTCGCATTATCTTAATAATAGTTAGAATATATTAATGATAGTTGAAAAATGATTTTGTGGAAGTAAATGTTATATATGTTATTGCAACATTAATTTTATAAATTATAGATAAAAGATAATTAATTTGGTATACAAATTAAGTTTCCTTAAAATTTCATTCTATTTTCGATAAAATAATTTATAAAAAATATGAATAAACTTGCATCATCCCATGAAAAATCAAATGATGCATAGGAATTACGGAAGCAATAAAGATATTCAAATTCACATAATTAGTTTTAATTTTTGAAAGTGCCAGTATTCAAAAAATATTTTTATTATTATTTAAGAATAAGGACCAGACATTCTTCTATTCTTCATTTATTCTTCTTTTTATTACTTAATTCATTACTATTAATACAAGGAACATGTTGTTTTTCTTCAGTGGTATAACGAAATTTTATTCGATGCATATTTAATGTTAGTATGTGAAAAATTAGATATATTAAACAGTACAATAAATATTAATGTTTAATTCTTACTAACATTAGTTATTCAAGTCTACTATAATTTAAATTTAAGTAGCGTAATTAATATAAATAAAATTAATTTTCACTGTTTTCAAATAATATTAGTAATTGATAGACCGTTATTTCATTAACTTTGATTTCAGAATACTTACAAAAAACTTTTTAAAAATGCCATTCAAATATTATAGAATATTTATATAAATATTGTGAAGTATTAAAGTATCTTATTTATCGATCTGAAACAATGATCAATATTCGAAGTAATAAATATATAATTATGGCTTATAATTAAATAAAAAATGAATTCTTTTATTTCTTTTAAATATTAATTAGATGTATTTACTTTCAAAAGTATGTATTTTAATATTTCAAAGGACTAATATGCTTCATAAATAAATATTTATTTATTTTAAATAAAAGAATTAATTTTAGAAACTTATGCAATAAGTCATTAATAATAATTCATTATAATATAATTAATTACAATTAAATCTATGAACAAAATTCTGTTTTTTACAATCAATAAAATTTTCAAATTATAATTACTGATAATAAATTAATCAGATAAATATTTACAAAAAAAGATGTTTAATTTAATAATGGAGGTATAATATTATTTTTGGGTTTATTATTTTTTATTAATATTAGATTAAACAAAAATATCTAATATATATATTTTATTTATATTATCTATTTATGAATATCTCTACCTAAAAAAGTATATTAATTTATTGAATGTAACATACGTGTGTCTGCGATTGTGTGTATGTGTGTATGTTTGTGTATGAATGTGCGCCTGTGTGCGCGGGTGCGTACATACACACTCTGTGTAATGAAAAAGCGGAAAAAATATTTTTAATTTTTTTTTTCATTGAAGCATAGTGTAGTTCATTAAAAATTACGAATAAACATTTTTAAGGTTTCAATTTATTCAATGGCACCTGATTTAATTATGAATACACAATTAGATTCTTTTTCACGTATAGGAGCAAAAGACCTTCATGCCCAAGACGTTAAGCGTCACGATAAATTGGACGGCGTTTTGGGAGTAAATTTAGGCAGTGGCCTATCCGCCGGCGGAGGTCTAACGCTTCCTCAAGAATTAATCATGACGATGCCAGGTGCAGGTTTGTTTAATTACATCTTTTATTATATTTTTATTCATATCTGAAATTTTGCTTGTAAATGGATTTGTATTGTAAATAAATTCTTGTAAGTCAATTTGGCTTATAAGTTTTTATAGATTTTATTATGAAAGAAGTTTTTATTATAAATTATATTATAAGTATAAATTCTATCACTATGATTAATATTTAAAAAGTATTTAGGTCTTATATATTATGATACTACAGAATATAATCAGATTTTGAATACTTTTATTTAGTTTTAAACAGTATATATTTTTCAGAAAATCCAGTGGATAGTATTGTTTGAATTGAATATTCGATATGTATTGATATTTGAAAACTTGAATACAATTTCAAATCTTTAATTGTATTTATATAAGGATGTCTTATATGTTAATATATTTTTTTATATATTCTGAGTATTTTAATAAACATTTTTCTCGATTTTTTATCTTTCTACTTAACAGTAATTTAGAGATGTTTACAAATTAAATAAATCATGTTTGAAATACTGAATCATTAGAAAAGATAATAACGAATTTTGTTTCTTGAAACTTTTCATTGAAAAAAAAGACAAATAATAATTTGAAAATTATCGGGATTAAGTAATGTTTATTAAATATCTATATATTTTATTATAATCAGTGATAAATTCTATATTAAATATATAATTTTTTTCTTTTATAAAACAATGTATATAAATACGTATGCGTGAAAAGAAATTTAATGCATTTACTTATTAATACAGCTTTATGGAATTAAGACTAACTTATCGAATACTTTAAAAACACTATAAAAGATTGATTCGGAATCGTTAATCACATAATAAATTGCTTGAAGTGCTAAAGATTAAATCGCCAATGCACACTAAATTAATTTTTTCAATCGACAAAACGTCACAATTCCATTTAAATAACATCGATCTTTCATTGTCACTTTTTCAACGTTATGAAATATAGGTAGAGTAAACTCTGTTATCGATACAATAAACTAAATCATCTTCTAAATTCTCATTCATAAAGTTTAGGAGGTGGATGCTCGGTCGTCCAGGGCGACGATAAACCAGCAAAACAGAAACGACATCGGACAAGATTTACACCAGGTCAACTAAGTGAGCTAGAGAGATGTTTTAGTAAAACCCATTATCCAGACATTTTTCTCAGAGAAGAAATCGCAAGTCGAATTGGTCTCACCGAAAGCCGGGTTCAAGTGAGTATCCACCTTTCCATTGATTAATTATTAATGTTGCATTTCCATATCATAAATTCATTTCATGCTATCATACAAGCATTTCTTCATTATAAAAATCATTGATAAAACATCGGTAAAATATTTACTTTATAATATTTGTGAATTATGAAAATCTTCATATTTATAATAATATTTGTCAATGTTATTTTGCCGACTACTATTTTATTTTAATTATAAGAATTTTAATATTACATAAAAAATATCTTTATTATTATTAAAAATAAAATTAATTTTATGTATTCCTGTTATTTGCAAAGTACATAAAGTCTAGCAACAAAGTATACAATATAGAAATTTTTGTTACCATAATTATGTTTCAGGAAAATGGTTTTAAAAGAATGTATTATATCTATTTTATAAATTACAATGTAATTTAGAATAGAAAGAAGTTTTTTCCATTTCAAAAAAATATATTAAGAAAAATTATTTTTTGATAATAAGAAATATAGATCAATTAATAAATTTATTCCTATAAGCATACGCTTTTACTGCAGATATTACATAAAATTTTAAATAAAGATGAGTATAAAATTACAGTCTTGAATCAAAATAAACCTATAAACATTACATTAAGGTATATATTTAATTTATTCAAAAATATTAAAAAAAATTTCTAATTTTGATAATAGTATACAATTCCTAATATCTTACCCTATTAAACTATTAGACAGCAAATATTATGACTTTTGAAAAGAAAATGTAAAACATAAATTTTAATGCTAAATAATTCAATAATACCTACAATTAAATAACACAAGTATACTTTAAGTAAACAGTATACTTTAGTAGTATACTTTAGTATGTGTAGTAGTATACTTTAAGAAGAAAACAGGTGGAAATGTATTTACAAGTAAGCAAGGACATGTAATTACAGTTATAAATTAAAATTTTAGATACATATATAGATACAAAAATAATATTAATTTAATATTAATAATATTATTTTAATAACGTTTTATTAAAATATATTGCTGTTTTTATTAAAATATCAATAAGTTATTGATATCTATACAATTTTTAAGTCATTGAAACGTTAATACAATTTAATACAATCTAAAGATTATAAATAAAAAAATTATGATAAATTTTTTAAATATAGGTACGGATATTAAATCATTGTAAATTTATATAGACTTGTGTTAATAAAATAACAAACTTAGAAAATAACGAATACAAATTTTTTAAAAAACAATTAATTATGTCATTTACATCTAGAGAATAAAAAATAAATCTGATAATACGAAAATATTATCTGATTTAAATTATCCATAGTATATATAATTTAAGGTTATGTAATTTAAAAGAATTACATAAATTAAATAAAGAGTATGAATTATTACTTAAACGAAACTTTTATTAAATAATAAAAAACAATAAAAAATGCTATGGACAGAATCAAATACAAAATTGGCTGTATATTGACTTTAGTTTGTCTTCACACAAAACGTATTTTAGACTATTACACCAGAGTGATTATAGTATTCAGTGAAAAGTTTTCGCTTGTATCAATTACTACGGCCTACGTTGGCTTTCCGGATTAAAGTGAAACTTGGAACTGCCGTGCTATGTTAAGCCTACCGATGTCGAATTTCCATGAGTTCTCTTTAAGTTTCTCTCTCTCCGACTTGCAGAGGTTTGCATACTACATGTCCGAGCGAGGCGATGGAACTCCATAAAATTACTATAAAAGATAGCCACGTGTTCTTTTTGCCAGATATTACACAACGTTAGTACTCCCATCGCTTCTTCCCATTTCCTTTACTTGCCCATTTCAATTAAACTAAGAGCGCTATTAAAGTCATGCAATTAATTACAACAGGGAATGACTGATTTTATCTAAGATCCATTCGTTTTAAAAGTAAAGAAAAATTCTATTTTAAGATAAATTTATTGCATAACTTATTGTTCTTACCAATATTATTATAATAGTCGATATTATATTTAGAATCTACTTATTAAAGCGCATTATGTATTTAATTATAATTATTTCCACTTCTTTAAAATTTTTTCCCTTTTAATTAAAAATTAAATAGTACTTAATAAATAATAATTAATTATATAATACATAAATAAAAAAATTAATGAATTAAAATTGCTATAATTATATATATATATATATATTAATTTAGATTAGAATACAAAATTTGAATTCGATATGTAAGAAAATTACTTAAAATAGTGATTTTAATTAACAAACATAAAAAAAAAATTACACAATAATATGTAAGCATTATAAATAAAGTGAACTTTTTAACAAATCAGAAATTTAAAAAATCATTTATAAATATGTAACTATTTTATACAATAGCTTAAAGATATAATACTAAGGTTAATTCTTGAATTGAAATATTTAAGTTAAAATAAGATGTATAATAATTTTTCAATCACATGGGTAAAAGCTAATAGTAAAATATTTGTATAAAGATAAAATAATTATTATTAATTATTATTATATTGTTAACATTATTAAAAATATAATAATAATTCTAATTTATATATTCAACTTTATATTTCAACATTATTGCAGAACATAATTTATAGCTATGTGCAACAAATAGTATTTATATTAATATTTTAATAACATCTAAAAAAATATCACATTTGACAATAAAAGAAAATTTTAAATAATAAACTCTTGGAATAAACTATTGGTCTAAACTAGAAGCAAGCTTTTATCACTTTATTGTCGGTACACTGCGAATTTCCGCTCACATGGGAAGCTAATAGAAATTCATGAAATTTTTATTCGCAACTCAACGCGTCAATCAAGTAGCGCGTTGGCTGAATATCAAACAGATTTTTTGCCACACAAAAGTAAAGTTACTGAAAAAGAGTAAAATCAGAAAATGAGATAAAAATGAAATAAGCAGACAAGAGTTGATAAGTACGCGTAGAGATAAAAATAAATTAATAATAATTTGAACATTTTATATATTTATTTTGCATAATTTTCGAAGAATAGCTTTATTTGATAGTTAATCTAATTAGTCATACTACGAAATTTCAAATAATCATAATATTAAATAATATCGATGTAAAAAAAAAAAAATAACGCGGATTTAATGAAATTTAGACTTAATTTATATTTTATTTATTTCGAATATCATATACATAATTTCATAGGTGTTACAAAAATAAAACATTACTTTATTATTCTAAATTAATTCTATAGTAAGCAAAAACAGATTTGAAATATAAATATAAAAAAATTTTGTTAATAATATTATTATCAATAGATATAAATATAATTATGATAATATTAGTAATTGGTAATATAATGAAGTTGGAGATTGTGCATTGTATATTTAAATATGTATTTTGAAAAGGTTTTAAAACACAAGTAGAGAACGATTTATAAAAAATATTAAATTCTGATCTTTAAAAACTAATTATTAAGTTTCTAAAATTCCTTTAAAGAATTTAAATAATTCCCTTTGAAAATAAAAAGATTTTTCGTATAAGTCAAGATACGAATTTCTTATGCTCATAATTCTTCATCTGTAATACAATAGTACAATTTCATATCATTTAAGTTCTTATTTCGATTTATATATAGATTGAATAAGTTTGATAATTCACCATTATAATTTTATTACTTTAAAAATATACCCGAAAATATTTTGTATAAGCCTGCACGTATACTAATGCAAAGTTAGGATACTGTGGCGTTTCTACATAATCTAGCTCTATTACAGTACTTGCAACGCCCATTTACCCCACTCAAGGCTTGTTTACGCTCGCATGACCGCTAACCACTGGTAGAACGACTCTTTCTCGTATACATACGCACTACTTTAATAGATACGGACTTGTAGGGTTAGATATTTTGTTGATAATTATTTAAAATAAAAAATATTTCATTATCATTAAGAGTAAAAAGTTTGTTAAAGAATAATTTAGCATTAATTCGATATATAATAGTGATGAATCAACGAGTACTGTCAATTGAGTACTGTCAATTTGAGCAATTTTCTTGTTCCGTGAATAATCTTTACAGCCTCACTAAATTTTTCTGCAAAAAATATATATAATAGATGTTGGTATACTATAGATTAAAATATATTATATAATAGTTAAATTAAACTATGTATTGGCACAAGGACTAAAAAAGATAATAGCGAATGAATTAAATGTACAATTGATCCTGCACATAAACACAAGTTTTTAACACGTTATATTTTTATACAAACTTATATAAGAATAAATAAATATATCCAGCGAATATATGCAATCTTATGCATTTACCGCATTCTTATATTATTTTTTTTCCTTCCATCGAGTAGGTTCGGATACTTTTATTTTACAACTCAATCGATATATATAATAAGAATGTAAATTTTATGAATTTTTATTATAATTTTTATTAAATAAAATAAAAATTAAATTTCAAGGAAGAAAATACAGACTTGACAAAATATTTTCTATGTACAAATTTTTTTTACACAATTAACATTAGAATCAATGAATTATTGACATTTGTGTTTGTACGAGTATACTTTGTGGGTTTCGATTTTTAAAAATGAAATTTTTGATAAATTTTTCATGAAATATAATTAAATAATATTCATCTTTTAATATATTCATTGATTTTGTATACGTACTCATTTATAAATCATACGAACAGGACGTTAGGCTTTAAAATATAGCTATGCATTAGTATTTGAAATTATTTGTTGAAGTTAAAATTTTATATTTAACTGAATATATACAGTATAAATTTAATATATTATATATTGACGATTGATTTAATAAATTTAATAAGTAATATAAATAAATGATAATTAATAAATAAATAATAAACAGGATTATTTCCATATAGTAAATAAATATTTTATATCTTATTATCCTGGAAAGATTTGATCTAATAATAATTTATTTTATAAATACTTTGGGGCATTTCTTGATTTCAACAAACTATCAATTACAATGTGATTATCATACCAATATTTAAATATAAC